AGGGCACCTTTGACCAACAATAACATACCAAAATATAATTAAAAAAAAGTGTATCATGTCACACGTGTCATTACTCACGTGATTGGCTTGTAAGACACCTATGACTAATAATCACAAGCTCTCCACTTGAGCTTACTGAACCTACAATCATCATCTAAGCATAAAAATCTACACATCAGCACAAAACTATGTGTGAGGAATATGATGTCTTACTCCACAATGCCACATTAACCCTTATACTATCTCACCTACACAAAATGTCATTGGGTATAAATAAATTTTTTAAATTAAGTAGAACCTAGATGGATCCACTACTAAATATAAAACACGTCTAATGGCTAAAGGATTTCACTAACAACTAAGTGTTGATTTCATGAGGACCTTTAGTCTAGTTATTGAACCAACAATAATTTGACTCATTCTAAGCTTAGCTATCGCTCAAGGCTAGCATATGCAGTAATTATATATTAATAATACTTTCTTACAAGAGACCTTAACTAAAAAAGCATTTATGCAGTAATCCCTTGGCTTCATCCACCCTGTATCATATTTATAAACTATAAAAAGTTATTTATGAATTTTGCTAAGCTCCAAGTGTAAGTTATTTATAGAACTTAGCTCATTTTTATATCAATAAGCTTTATTAAATGTAGGACTAACACATTCTTATTCTTACGACAACAAAAGGGATGTATTATAGATTTATTGATCTTTGTGGATGATATTATTATCATAAGCAATAATTCCATGGAGATCAAGTAATTTCTTAAGTAATTGATAAATTGATTCTCCATTAAAGATCTAGGAACCTTAAGCTACTTTTTAGGAGGTGGAAGCAATGTTCATATCTCCTGAAACATTTTATTTTGAAAGAAGTATATTTGAGATCTATTATCAAAGATAAACATACAAAATGCTAAAGAAGTTATCACCCTACTCTCCATAACTAAGCCACTTAAATTATATGATGGTAGTTCTACTACGAATCCTATACAATACCAATAATTACTTAGTTCCTCATAATATTTATCTCTCATACATCCAAATATTTTATTTTATAGTCAACAAATTATCATAATTCATGTATCGATCATCCACTATGTATTAGTCTATATTAAATTATGTTCTATGACATTTTAAAGGGACTCCTAATCATGAACTTCTCCTTCATAAATATTTATCATTTTATCTCCATATATTTATCAATGTTGATTAGGTAAGAAACACTAATGATAGAATATCTATGTCAGCCTATATTATCTTTTTTTAGAGTAAATCTAAAAAATATATACTGCAAGATCCACCATTGAAGTTGAATATAGAGTTATTGCTAACACCACTTAGAAATTCAATTGGGTCATCAATCTGCTACACAAACTTGACATTACCTCCCAATCCACTTCTATAATATATTGTGATAATATTGGTGCCACCTACTTATACACCAACCCGGTGTTTGACTCATGCATGAAATATATTGTAATCGACTTTCACTTTGTTAGAGATCAGATTGTTAGATGTCAATTATGTGTTTCTCACATTCATACTTCCTACAAATTAGTATTTGACTCACGCATGAAATATAATATCATCGACTTTCACTTTATTAGACATCATATTATCATATATTAATTACATGTTTCTCATGTTCATACTTCTAATTAATTAGTAGACTTACTCATAAAATCTCTTGCCTATAGGATATTTTAATTACATCGGTTCAATATTTGTATACTTAACCGAAACTCAATTTTACGGGACATGATAGAAGATCATAACATAGGTAAATATGGAACAATAACTCTATATTCTTTACAAGATCTAATTCCCAATCAATCTATGATTTGAGGATCAATCACATATTTAAGCATATGATTTGAGCACATGATTGAAAAAAATCTCTCCCTTACAATTTGTATAAATGAATTAAATGATCTTCTTCACATCAAAACTTTTCAATAATTACATCGAAAATACTTTGAAGTGCATATAATTGTCTGTCCCACATAACATACATGTTAATATCATTTAAATTATTAAGATCAAGAAATTATATCCCTAATTTACTACTATTACCCAAAATGCGGATTGAATAAATGTTTATATATTTTGTAAATTATGCTTCCCAATTTAGTTTGTCCTACTTTACTAGGCATCCTTGTAGCATTTCCGTGTTTATACATCATAAGAACGTAAGTAAATAATGCTTTATGTTAGAAACAACGCCCTTAAATATTATTTTCCATTGGTGAAACCTCTGTTTTTGTTTTAATCGTTTTGAAAATCCTATTGGCATTATTTCTGTAGTGCCATTGAAGTATAATAAGATATAGAACTTATGATATTTTTTATAACCAAGTAGTTCCAAAGATGAGAAAAAGATATATATTAAATTTGTAAAAATAAATAAAAAAAGTGTAATGATTTAGGTAATATTAGATGTATTAAAGGTGAAGATAAAAAAATACTTATTAACAATAATAAAACTATAGAAAAATTAAAAATATTTTTATTAATTATTTAAAGAACATTCCGTACATGGCTTAGCTCTAATGATTGACATTAGTAATAGATTTAATAAATATAGATTTGTTTACAAAATTAAAACTAGTAAAGTCAAAGATGCCTTAGAAAAGATGAAAATACATGATGATTTCTCTATCGAGGTTTCAAAATTTTAGGAGATCAAAGAATAGCTTAGTTAATTAATTTATTTAATAAAATTTTGAGAGTTTAATAAATATGTGTTGAATGAAGAAAGCATTTTTTAATGGATAAGGGTGATATATAAAATTATTAAAATTATAAAGTAATCAAAATCATAAGCTACGAAACCTTGGAGAAGAGTTTTCAAAAGTTTTAGAAATATAGAAAGCTTGTCTAGTGAGTTTCTTATTATTCTAGGACTATATCAAGAATTTGCATTAAGCCCCTATACATTTGACAATGGATAAATCTACTAGTCATTTATAGAATAAACATTCTTAGTGTATAATATTTGCTAATGATATTATGTTAATTAATAAGAGTCTGAACGAACTTAATTCAAAGCATAGAGGTAATCCTTAAAAACTAAATGTTTTTAATTAAGTATGACTAATATTTCATATATAAGATATAGTTAAGTTAAATTGATAAGAAGTTATACTAAGTAAAAAATTTTAGATATCTTGGATCAACTATTTAGTACGATAGAGAGATTTATGAAGATATTATTTATAAAATAAATATAGAATTACTAAAATGATGAGTTGATCATTGGATATATTTTAGATTTAAAACAAATATAAAATAATTATTAGATCAATAATATTTTATGAACCTAAGTGTTTGATAGTTAAGAAATAATATATGTAAAAAATATATGTTAGAAAGATGAGAATGTTGAGGTGGATATGTGAGCTACTTGAAAATATAGAAAAAAAAATATTTTTATTTGTAATCAATTAGAAATTAAGATAAAATGAGAAAAAAATTATTTAAAATGATACAGACGTATGATTAGGAGACCTACCAATTCGATAGTCAAAATAATTAAAATGATTATTATTAATAGCATAAAAATACTTAAAAAAATTATAAATAAAAAATTAAAATATCTTTAATTGAACTTAATACATAATTTTTGAAAGTAATATTTAGTTGAGCTACTAAAGGCTTTAATAATTTATCATAAGAGTTTGGACTCAACTTTCATCTTCATCACTTACTTAAAAAAAGAAAATGTTTACCATTTTATTGTTGTTGGCTGATTTTGAATATGGGTTGGTTTGCAAGTTAATATTTTGTAATAAATTTAAGTTACAATTGCCAAATCGGAAAACATTCTTACACAAATTAAAGTTACACCTAACTTGATATTTTCCTCCTGCTTTTGCTACCTAATTGGAGATGACCGCAGGCCAACGTTGTTAGCGAAGAAGATTATTGTTTACCAATTAAGATAGTTCCGTTTCAATCCCTCTTTAAGTGGATCTATTCCATTATTCTTAGATTAATATTTAAAGTGTAATAAAATATATTGAAAGTTGTTTTAAACCCTAACCTTTAACATATTTGGTAAATAAATCTGGTACTTCATCATCAATACTAACATATTTTAGGTGTAAGTTATATCTAATAAGGTTTGGATCTAATACATCATCATCAAATCAATATCTTTAAGTGTAAAGTTAGGAATCCTCAACCTTCAATAAATAAATCTAGTATATCAAAAAATATATATGAGATAAGATTTTGATCCATCATCCTTTCGTTCCTCACCCTTTGATAAGTGAATCGATTGTGGAATGAGATCAATGGCTATAAAATATACTGGATAGATTAAGAATTCTTAACTTTTTGATAAATGAATTTGGTTCATCGTCATCAAATTAATATCTTAAAATTAAAATATAGTTTAGACGAGACATATCATAAAATGTAAAAAGCAATGTTTAAAAGCTGTAGATTTGATCTACCATCAAATTTCCTATATCATATCATCTTATACATGTACATATATCACCTTTCTCTTATCGAACTTGGTGATTTCCTTCGCTGCAGTCGTGATGGAGCTCTCTCTGTGGATGCTGCTTTCACTCGGTGTCTCCGTCCTCCTCCTCCTCCTCCTCCTTTCTAGAGCCACAAAGAGGTCATCAAAGTCCCGCGGTCAGCGGCTTCCACCTGGGCCGACTCCACTCCCAGTTGTCGGCAACCTGTTCGAGCTCGGCGACAAACCCCACCGTTCCCTCGCCCGCCTCGCCAAGGTCTATTCCCCAATCATGACTCTCCGCCTCGGTCAAGTGAACACTGTGTTCGTCTCGTCCCCGGAAATGGCAAGGCAAATCCTGCAGGAGAACGATGCAGTCCTCTCCAGTCGTTGGATCCCAGAATCTGTTCGCGTGTTGGCCTTCAACGAGGCCTCCATGGTGT